TATACTAACACTGTACAAATACTGTATGTAATTCCACTTAGTAATGGAATAGACATATCGGTCATTCAACTATTAATGTAGGTATAGTATTTTTTTTATAGCAGGATAGGATTTTATTTTTACCTATGTAACTTTTATTCTATTCATCTTTTTCTGTTCGTGTTGGGGTTAATCTGAGTTATAACCAGATTTGGTTAATGTATTGTATGTATTTTATGTGCAGTTACTGTAATCTCCACCACAGATGGTGCCCAGAAGAGATGATGACGATGCGATACCTCGGAGGACTTAACGAGTTGCCGGGGGGCTCCGGTTCAAAGAACAGGAGTAGGAACGGTGTGGTTTTTAGTCAGTAAAACTCTGACATTCCCTCTCACCTTATCCAAGGTGGGAGAAGCCATTAAATAATTTTCTCCCCTTAAAACAGTCATCTGCTCTTCATAACCCAAGCGATAGACATTCTTGGTTAAACACAATACTTACTAGTTTTTTGAATACTATACTATTCAAAGTGTGAGAGAGCCATGCTTCGGCACGAATGGGCTGGCTTGACCGTAGTGATACCACGGCCTCACAGAAAACCGACGTGAAACAACGCTTGCGTTGTGTTTCGTCGTGTGAGTGAGATTACCGGAGGCCCAATTACCCCCTTCCCTAGTCCCCGTCTCCCGAATTCCCGAATCCTCCACAATCCTCAAATTCCCAATTCCCAAAATTCCGGTAACGCACTTATAACGCCATGGTGTTTCGAATGTCCATGGGCGGCGCCGATTGCTTACCATCAGGTGATCCGTCTGCTCGTTTACCGGCTTATGCTATAAAAAAAATACTATAAAATTAAATATAATACCTACCTAATAATGTATTTCTAATTATATCAACGCAGCATCTGTTTATTTATTAAAACTCTAACCAACTGTTGCAGGTGCCATTATATGCTTATCTCTGATTGAGTTCAATCACCTAGAATATTTACAAGTATAATTTTTACTGTCTCTGTACCCAACGGCTGAAAACACGTTTACTGATTTCAAGGTGATAAAAATTAAAATATTGCCAATATAGACTAATTCACTATCGTCTGGTCATCGGTTCTTTGACAAATGTGACCGGTCCACTGCCATTTCAGCTTGCTAATCCTTTGGACTACGTCGGTAACTATAGTTCTTTAAATTGGTGAAGCAGTCTAACAGTGCAGTCTCCACGTCTCGGCTCCGTATGACTTTGCTGGTAGGCCACACTCGTTGAACACTTTTGTCTTAAGGCTTTGCGGTAGAGTTGAAGATCTCCAGCTAGGTGGTATGACGATATCAGCAAAGTGGCTATTGTGGTTGGATGCGTAGAGTTGAAGATCGAGCTCAATGGCGTGCCATTGGAGAGGCCTATGTCCAGCAGTGGATGAGAACAGTCTGTTGATGTGTTATCCAAATCCTTAGGATTTGTTTACGGAATAAATCGTTATTAAGGTCTAGTTTCATAAGTTACAAATGTATCTGAAAACGGCAGTAAGACAAATACCTTGGAGCGAAACAAAAAAGGCGCCATGTTTTTTTTTCCTTTCGATTAGAAATCGTTGCTGACTCATAACCTAACCTAAATCGAATCGAAAGCTAGAACGAAGAGTCGAGTGAAAGTGTTTTTGTGAATATACTAAAGGATATTAGCGCGTCATTGCTTCTAAAAGTTATAAATATCTAATCAATGCTTAAACTTCTTGCTAAACAATAAGCTTGTTATTTATTTTATGATTACTTTCATCAACCAAAAATAAATCTATAATTATCAACTTTATTGATAATACCACAGTATATATATTTAAAGGAGAACAACATTACAACATATTTAAAGACTGCCTGACTGCTGATGAAGCAAAAGAGCTACGATTCCTTTTTCCTATATACATAGGAAAAAGGAATCGTAGCAAAATGGCGTTCCATAGTCTCTGCCTACTCTTATGGGAGACAGGCGTTAAGTTATGTATGTATGTATGTTAACGTCACAACGCGAAACAAAATAAACAATAAAATCAAAACTATCTATGACATAAACTTCTAACCACCTGGAAAAGTATATAAAAGTTGTTAAGTAACTTTATATTTTCTCTAAATAAACTTTCAGGTGTATCTTTATAACATCATTTATCAAGTAGACACATTTATACCAAAAACTACGTGACTTTTCCAAAATGGCTACACTTTGGTCCTTATCGTCGTGAGGGCAAACATACGTCGTTGTTTGGTCTCAGAGTGCGTGTTTGTACGAGTCCGTATTATTTAAGTACTTGTTTATGTATAATACAGACAACATACACAGAAGAAATGATTTCGTACTGACAGGCGCTGCATATCCCTTATGAGATTTATTTCTGCATGTTTGGAACATTCATCGCTCTGATTGGCGTGTTCTAATGAACCAACCAAACCAATTACAGGGCTAAACGCAGTGGCGTTTTGATCTCGATGTCCACAAAAAATACTCGTACTAAGCCTTTTGAACATATTACGGAAACTCTAGTCATTGTTTGGACATTTAGGGATATAATAGGGTAAGGACGTAAGGTCGCTGAGCCGTCGGATTATTTGTCGGCACGTTCAGTCGTGACGTCATCGTTTGACCACATAAACAACCAATGATTTGTTCCTTTATCTATAAATCAGTTTCTTCCAGTTTTCTTTATCTGTATATCCAGTTTTCGGCTTTCATAGGGTTTCTTGGGATAATAGTGCAGTGGTTTCCCGTTGCCTTCTGCACCAGACCTTTTAGAAGTTATTTGTACCTGTATTTATAAAAGAGTAACCTATGGAGTTTCTTGCTCGTTCTTCTCCATAGGAATCTACACCTTGAAATGAGCAAATAGCTTCACTTTTAATTTTTGTTTTTGTTGACGTTCAAAAGTGCCATTCTGGCCTAATTGAAATAAATGATTTTTACTTTGACTTTTGACTTTACCTCAAGGTTGCTGTAGCCTCTTCCAATCATTTTGATCGGGAGATGGTTATACCGCCATCGACTCGGTCGCCAGGGCGTCGTCCGTTGTCTAGCAGGGAGCACCCAATAACCACTTGGTTATTGTCGCCGCACCAAACAATTGGGCCGGATAAGATAGTAGTGCCGAAAACAGGACAAGATGGAGGGAAATAACACAGAGAGCAATGAAAGCCTTTTAGGGGCACGACCTTCAGAAACGAAGCAAGCGATCGAGAAGAAGATATTCAGTACAGTAAGTAGAGAAAACATAGAAATCCACCTGGCTTAGGTACACCGGTTTGAACTCAGATCATGTAAGATTTTAATGATTGGACAGATCAAAAATTCTAAACTTCTACATTTAAATTTTTTACAAATAAATATTTTAAACATAAACTATTTTCGATATAGTTCACTATAAGATGTTGTTACGTAAGTTTATTACGTTATAACTTTAGACTTAAGTCCCTTTAAGTAGTGACTCACAACTTTTATGGTCTATTATCTTTAAGATTATTATGGATATTACCTTTAAGATTATTGTTCTTTTATTAACAATTACTGTTTGTTTATGTATTGTTGTGTTAGAACTGTTTTATCGATATCAGTAAGGATGTGATTTATAACGGAGATTTATATAGTAAATTGCGCATTTTTCTGATAAGTTTCAACGCAGCATTGCGTTTATATTATGCTAAAAAATATACGTAAGTTTATTACGTTATAACTTTAGACTTAAGTCCCTTTAAGTAGTGACTCACAACTATCATGGTCTTAGAAGAAGTGAATTATTTTTTAATAACTTCTGTCTGCTGCTTTTGTTCAGCCATTTTGATGAGATTGAGTAATAAACATACAGACAAACAAACACACAAACTTTCGCATTTATTATATTAATAAGATATAAATTATTTTTTTGATAATAAATTGGTCATCCCCAATAATCAGGCCTCATAACTCAATTAGTGGAATGAAGGTTAATTCCATTTGATTTTTCCTTTGGGAAATAACATAATTGCTAATGTTTATAATGTTTTTTTTTGGAAATTACGTCCATTTGATAAGTGACATCATCCATTGTACTAATTAGACCAAACCCTAATCCATTTTGCTACTTAGCTATGAAATAATTAATTATTATATAAGCGTGAAGCAACGATGATAGCCAAAAGTACTTTAAAAGGAAATAACATAGGTAATGGGTTTTTAAAAAAATCAGTAGTAGCACGGAGTCTGGAATTGTGCCCGTTATATGAAAATAGGCTCACCCTCTATTACATGGGACTCATAACATAACTAGTCGAAAGAAAGAAGAAGAGGAAGCCTAGCTACACAGAGTGAACTTCAAGTCTTTTGTAGTCAGGATGCCGACTGAACATCTGCTAACCTTAATGAAAGAGGAGTTTTGACCGCGAGGGGTAGTCTTCCGACGGTTCCGAGGTCGGCTATCGGACACTGTACGACACACGACGCCGTCTATTCGTGTGACCTATTTATTAAGTACCTAATTGAGTAATTATTTTGTTTGTAATATATGTATAGTATTTATAAATCTTTAATGTATTAGTTTATAGTATTCGAAATATATATAATAACCATATAGACCAAATCTTAATCATGAATCCCTAAATTCCTAAAAGTGCACGCAATTCTTACTTCTCTAGTGTTATGGGTGTCCATGGACAGCCATTAAATACCATCAGATGATCTGTCTGTTCATTTGCCAACCAACTACTTAGCTACATAAGGATGCAAAAAAAACATAATTGTGCGTCAAAACATATTGCCATAACTGTGCATCAATGGCGGTCGCTCAATAAACACTCAGACGAGACATTGATCAATCAATTCAATAGGAGACGTCTACCAGCTACCTGTCTCCCCACTACAAGACTACAGCAATGAAACGAACAACTATTCTTAAGATAACGGCATCACTCGAACGTGCACGCGTGTGAAAATGTGAACAAGTGATATTACTACTGAACTCTAAAACAGTGACAATAAAGGTTATATTGTGTTGTGTTTTCAATATGAATATGGAAAATGCAAGGTAAATTCTAGTGATATTGCCTTTAAGATTATTGTTCTTTTATTAACAATAACTGTTTGTTTATGTATTGTTGTTTTAGAACTGTTTTATCGATATCAGTAAGGACGTGATTTATAACGGAGATTTATATAGTAAATTGCGCATTTTTTTGATAAGTTCCAACGCAGCATTGCGTTTATTTTATGCTTAAAAATATCACTACATAACATTTAAACGTTTATCAGAACAAAATTATTGTGATTTTGCTGAGAATTTTAAATAAAAAATCCAGTTTCTGGCATCAAATTAAAATTCTAAAAACTAAATAATATTTTGTATAAACATCCGGTTTATTCGGAATAAATTATGCTCCAACATGATTCAGTGTGACAATTCATACAATAGGTAGTTAATTCGTCACACGAAATAAACGTTTGTAACGAATTTAAAGCATATTTGTTAAACAAATGTTTTGGCATACGTAATTCTATTATGTATTGTGTTGTTAAATGAGTTCCTGAACAAAAGATTTAATATTAGTTAGGTACTGTAAACATGCAAAAAAACTATTTGGTTTCACTTGATTTGCTCTACTCTTATTCATCATAGCGTGATATTTTATAGCCTATAGGCTTCCTCTATAAATAGATTATCCAAAAATAAAAAATAAATAAAGAATATTCGAACCAGTAACTATGGAAATTAACTTCAAACAAGCTATACGCTTCAACATTATACATTATTAAGTAATAAGTATAAGTTGAATACTGTTCCGAGCGGAATATTATGGGTCAATATTTAACTCTATAAGACTATTAATACAACTGGAAAAAACCCTTCGCCGATTCCTTCAAAGAATGAATAGTATATTGTATTAGCTTTGTTTATAATTCCAATCTCGCCATCAAGAACCAGTAACAACCCACTGTTTGAGAGTAGAGCTCCTCTACATTAGAAGGTTTTTCATAACCTACCACTTTGATAGGCAGGTTGAAAACCGCAGTTAAAAAGGTTCAGGTTTATCAGAAAGAGCCTCAGTCCAACTACAGTGGCCACTGCAAAGGCCTCTTCTCACACGGAGAAGGTTTGTGCATTAATCACCACGCTTGCTCAGTGCAGGAAACTTATAATTGGAAATTGTAAGCCTATGTTTCCTCACGATGTTTTTCCTTCACCGTTTGTCAGTGATGTCTGAATAATCTTAGAAAGTACATGTAACTCGGAAATAGTCACATTGGTACTTGCCGTTGGTTTTGAATCCGCACCCTCTGTATCAGAAGCGGGCGACCCGACCAACCTTTCCAATCTCTGGTGATTCTATAGATTTTTAGAGCACTCTACGGCACCTATGGGAACAGCTGGGCTGGTGACGAATGTTCTACTCTCTTGTCCTAGCTTAACACCAGTCTATTATATTTACATAACAACATAACGTTACGCCTTTTATCTCTGAACCCCTTCAGAGATAAAAGGCAGAGGTGCACATTACGGCACTTAATGCCACTGCACAATGTAACACCCACTTTTCACTATTTATGTAATGAGTCCCATGTAATAGGGGGTGAGCCTATTGCCATATATCGGGCACAATTCCAGACTCCGTGCTACCACTGAGAATTTTTATTAAAAACCCAGTAGTACTTTGCCCGACCCGGGAATCGAAACCGAGACCCCTTACCCGGTAGTTCCACTTGCTACCACTCGGCCAACGAGGCAGTCTGTTATATTTCTTAAAAGGTTGTCTGGTAGAAATCACTACAAGTGATAAGACCATCTTTGTACCGATCAATTTTTTATTATTTATGTTTGTCATTTCCTTTTTCTGTATGTGCTATATTATTAATGGTGTACAACAAAGATTATTCTATTCTATGTTTATATGGCGACCCATATTGATAAACAAATGGAGTTTTCCATAATTTTTCATGACTGTGTTTATTTGAAGACCGTAGAACATCAATCTGGGGCGATTAGCTCTGTCAATAATGTTGCCCTAGAATTATAATGACAATAATTAAACGTATCGTGTATAACATTCACTCTGTTGTAAGATTTTGTGTTGTCTACAAAAAAGGTAAATTTAATCGAATATCTAACACGTGGGTTATGGTTTTTACAATAACTATCGTGAGACATACCAAGTTAACTAAAAATCGTGGGTTACTCACATGAATATACCAAGAAAAGCTCTATTAGTTTTGAACCACAGAGGGGTTCTTCCTCATGAGTAGCGTGCTCGGTCGTGGCGACGTCGAGTATAAAGTATATTTGCGTGAGTAACCCGCGATTTTAGTTAATATGGGTTACAGATTTGAATATGAAGTGTTCTGTTTGATTGAAAAATATCGCGTGTTTGAATAAGGCACGATGCAATTTGATACTGTATCTTTAAACACATACCTCGTTAATCTGTTTAACGAATAAAATTCTAGGTTAATTAATTTGCACATTAAATAAACTACACAAACATTATTAACAAATTAATCGTTATTTTATTGTTATAAGTACCTATTCTTATGCATATAATTTATGTAGGACAAACTCACGTACATACTATTTTGTAAAATGAATTCTGTATCTCCCTCGTCTAAAGTAGCTGTGAGGTACATTTTCAACAACATCTAAATTTCAAGGACCCCTAATAGGTAACACTTAACGTTATATGTGACACCTAAGAGTATATATAAGAAAGGGGCTAGTTCAGGTACTCAGAGCTAAGTAACTCTTAGTTGAGAGATGGCTAGGGGTGGTTAGTCCGAACGTACAGCGCGTCGCGTACCGCGCGCGCCTCAAAAAGCCATCAGACCACCACAGATGGGGCCCAATAGGGCTGATACCGATTCGGAGTCACGGAGAACATAACGGGTTACCGGGGCTCCGGATCGAAGTGCAGGAGTAGAAACGGGGTGGTTTTTAGTCAGTAGGAGTCTGACACTCCCTCCCGCCTCACCCAGGCGAGAGCAGTCATTCGATGAAAAAAAAGGGGTGGTTGGTGGAATCGGCCATAAGTATCTCGAAGTATTACTTCGTGATCCCCAAGAGGCGTGGATCCAAATGAGTGTCGATAAATAAAATACGAAGTCAGACAAATTGAAATATGTACAGCAATGCCTCAGGGTACCAGACTGGTAGCAATTGCTTCTTGAAGGATTCCATTATTGTAATCATTGGAACGAAAATTACATCAAAAATACATAAAATTTGACGAAGCACATCAAGTACATTTTGGAGGATAATGTCAACAAACATGAAACTGTCGTGTTTATGGAGACGGCATTATTGAGGGCGACCTAGCGGGTTATCAAGGTTCTAGCTCGTAGCAGAAGTAGGAACAGGGTTGCTTTTAGTCAGCAAGAGTCTGAAACTCTCTCTCGCATCATCTAAGGCGGGAGAAGTAATAGAATAATTTCCCCCCCTTCAAAAAAATTATAATACTTAAAATCTCCCCATCATCATTACATTGTCATCATCGACAACCCATGGTGTTCCATTGTATTGGACTACAAATTATCTTTATATAAAAAGGGTTTCCATAATTTCAACAGTTTGGAAATCCTATATTAACAGGTTCAAGTTAATCACTGGTGGTCTCCGTCAAATGTGGTACGTAGTCCTTTGCGGTCGAAATTAATTATGTAGTTTAAAAACCTGTGGATAAATTTCGATTGTTGATAGAAACTTCATACAATTGATACCAAAAATGAATCTTGAGTTTCTTGCTCGTTCTTTTCCATAGGAATCTACACCTTGGAATGAGCAAATAGCTTCACTTTTAATTTTTTTGTTGACGTTCAAAAGTGCCGTTCTGGCCTAATTGAAATAAATGATTTTGACTTTGACTTTGACTTTGAAAAATCCTTATTCACTGAGTAGTCAGCATTTATGTCACTTGCGAGAAAAATATATCATATTTCATGTATTTATTGAACCGTATTACAAATAGCCACACTTGCCTAAACCCGAATTCTCCGAATCTTTTGGGCACGGAACCCAAAAACAGTAATTGTAGTCATCATCAGCAATCATTACGGAGCTATTATATTAAATGCTTTATTTCTGTGCTGCACGTGACTCCAGCGTTATTTGTGTGTCAATGACATTTTGAGGGCACGGTTGGCGCCGTGGCTGGGTAGGTACTCAGCGGTTATGCTATGATGCGTCTTTGGTTCCTAGACGGTGAAGAAGTCGCGGAGAACCTAACGGGTAACCGGGGCTCCGGCTCGACGTGCAGGAGAAGGAACGGGGTGGTTTTTAGTCAGTAAGAGTCTGACACTCCCTTCCACCCAGGCGGGAGCAGTCATTCGATGATTTTCCCCCCTAAAAAAAAGGACGGTGAAGAAAATGTAGTTAATCAATGTATTGTAGTTAAGTTCAGTTGAATCACTAATGCAACCAAGCATAATTGGACAGAGAAAATCCTAGCACAGTTTTCATTAAAACAATTAAAAAGACAGCACAATAATTATAACATAACATAACATCACGCCTTTTATCCCCGAAGGGGTAAGCAGAGGTGCACACAGAAGTAACACCCACTTTTCACTATTTATGTTATGAGTCCCAGGGGGTGAGCCTATTGCCATATACCGGGCACATTTCCAAACTCCGTGCAACTACTGAGATTTTTTTTAAACCCAGTAATACTTTACGGTAGTCGCACGCACTTGCGACTACTCGGCCAACGAGGCACAATAATTATACTACACATGAATATTCAGTACGTACTGTCTGTCACTGATTACCCATAATAGTTTCGCTGACTGTTACTACTATAAATACGTAACTATTTAGGACACAAAATAAGTCAACTTGCTTATTAGTTAACTAGGTAATAAGAAATAAAATAGAGCGTTTCTCACTTTTAAAATAGCAATTATAGAAATTACTGAAAATAGGTAATTGTTGACAATTACTATTTTATTCTATCTAGACACAAATGATAAACGGTAAAGGAAAACATCGTGAGGAAACCTGGACTTATAATTTCCAATTATAAGTTTGAAATCGCTAACCCGCATTGA